TCTCAGCAGAAACACTATACACCAGGAGAGAGTGGAAAGATATATTCAAAATATTGAAAGAAAAATTCAGCCAAGAATACTCTATCCAGCAAAGTTAACCTTCACATATGAAGGGGAAATAAAGGCTTTCCCAGACAAATAAAAACTGAAGGAGTTCATCGCCACTAGACCTGCCTTATAAGAAATGTGAATATGAATAGACTGATCACTAGTAAAGAGATTGAAACAGTAATCAAAACCTCCCCAAAAAACAAAAGTTCAGGACAAGAGAACTTCTCTGTTCTACCAGAATGTTCTACCAAACATTCAAAGAATTAATACCTATCCTTCTCAAACTCTTTCAAAAAATTAAAGAGGTGGGAACACTTATTAACTCATTCTATGAGGCCAACATCACTCTGATATCCAAACCAGAGAAGGACAGCACAAAAAAGGAAAATTAAAGGCCAATATCACTGATGAACATAGATGCAAAAATCCTCAACAAAATACTAGCAAGTCAAATACAATACATTAAAAGGATCATACACTACAATCAAGTGGGATTTATTCCAGGGGTGCAAAATCAACATCCACAAATCAATCAATGTGACATACCACATTAAAAAAATAGAGAATAAAAATCACATCTCAATAGACGCAGAGGAAGCATTTGACAAAATTCAGCAGCCATTTATGATAAAAACTCTCAATAAAATGGGTATAGAAGAAAATTACCTCAACATAATAAAGGCCATATATGACAAACCCACAGATAACATCATACTCAATGGTGAAAAGCTGAAAGCTATCCCCCTAAGAACAAGACAAGGATGCCCACTCTTGCTACTCTTTTCAACACAGTATTGGAACTCCTAGCCAGGGCAATTAGGTAAGAAAAAGAAGTAAAAGGGATCCAAATTGGAATGGAAGAAGTAAAACTGTCACTATTTGCAGATGATATGATTGTATACATAGAAAAAACTAAAGAATCCAACGAAAAACTTAGAAATAATAAATGAATACAATAAAGTTGCAGGGTATACAATCAACATACAAAAATTGGTTGTTTCTACAAACTAACAATGAAATAGCAGAAAGAGAAATCAAGAATACAATCCCATTTATAATTATAACAAAAAGAATAAAATACCTAGGAATAAATTTAACCAAGGAAATGAAAAGACCTGTCCACTGCAAACTGTAAGATGTTTTTGAAAGAAATCAAAGACATCAAGCAATGGAAAGATATTCCATGCTCATAGATGGAGAATTAACATAGTTAAAATGTCCAGGGGCTGGGCCTGTACCCGAGTGGTTAAGTCTGTGCACTCCACTTCGGTGGCCAGGGATTCGCCAGTTCAGATCCTGGGCCCAGACCTACACACTGCTCATCAAGCCATGCTGTGGCAGCATTCCACATAGAACAACTAGAATGACTTAAAACTAGGATATACAACTATGTACTGGGACTTTGGGGGGAGGAAAAAAAAGAGGGAGATTGGCAAGAAATGTTAGCTCAGGGCCATTCTAAAAAAAAATGTCCATATTACCTAAAGCAATCTACAGATTCAACCCAATCCCTATCAAAACTCCAATGACAGTTTTCATGGAAATTAGAACAAAGAATCCTAAAATTTATAAGGAACAACAAAAGACCCCAAATAGCCAAAGCAATCCTGAGAAAAAAGAACAAAGCTGGAGGTATCACAATCCTTGATCTCAAAATATACTACAAAGCTATAGTAATCAAAACAGCATGGTACTGGCAGAAAAACAGACACACAGAGCAATGGAACAGAATTGAAAGCCCAGAAATAAACCCTCACATTTATAGACAGCTAATCTTTGACAAAAGAGCCAAGAAGATATCATATAGGAGAAAGGAAAGTCTCTTCAACAAATCGTGTTGGGAAACCTGGACAGCCACACGCAAAAGATGAAAGTAGACCATTATCTTATACCATACACAAAAACCAACTCAAAATGGATTAAAGACTTGAATGTAAGACCTGAAACCATAAAACTCCTAAAAGAAACCATAGGGAGTAGACTCCATGACATTTGGTCTTAGCTATATATTTTTGGATATGTCTCCTCAGACAAGGGAAAAAAAAGAAAAAATAAACAAATGGGACTACATCAAACTAAAAAGCTCCTGCGTGGCAAATGAAAACATCAACAAAATAAAAAGACAACCTACCAATTGGGAGAAGATACCTGCAAATCATATATCCAACAAGGGGTTAACGTCCAAAATATATAAGGAATTCATACAACTTACCAAGAAAAAAACAGACAATCCTATTAAAAAATGGGCAGAGGATCTGAATAAACATTTTTCCAAAGAAGATACACAGATGGCCAATAGGCACATGAAAAGATGTTCAACATTACTATTAGGAAAATGCTAATCAAAACCACAATGATATATCATTTCACACTCATCAGAATGGCTATTATTAAAAAGACAAGAAATACCAAATGTTAGAGAGGATGTAGAGAAAAAGGATTTAGTGGGAATGTAAACCGGTGTAGCCACTATGGAAAACAGTATGGAAATTCCTCAAAAAAATTAAAAATAGAACTATCATATGATTCAGCTATTCCACTTCTGGGTATTTATCCAAGAACATGAAAACACTAATTCAAAAAGATATATACAGCCCTAATTTAACTGTAGCATTATTTACAATACCCAAGACTTGGAAACAATCTAGGCGCTCTTCAATGAATGAATAGATAAAGAACATGTGGTATATATACATAATGGAATACTACTCAGCCACAAACAAGATGAAATCTTGCCATGTGTGACAACATGGATGGACCTTGAGGGTATTAGGCTAAGGTGAAATAAGTCAGATGGAGAAAGACAAATACTACGCAATTTTACTCTTATGTGGTAGATAAAAAAAATAATAAATACACATGGATACAGAGAACAGATTGGTGGTTACCAGAAGGGAAGAGGGGTAGGGGGAGGATGAAAGGCTAAAGGGGGACATTTGTAAGGTGATGGATGGAAACTAGACTTTTGGTGGTGAATATGAAGTCAAAATACAGAAGTCAAAATACAATGATGTATACTTGAAACTTACATAATGTTATAAACAATGTTATCTCGCTAAGAAAATACCAAACTGTACGCTCTATGTGCAGTTTATTTTAAGTCAATTATATCTCGATAAAGCTGTTAAAAAACCAAAGGTACTGCACACTCAAACCTTGTCCTTCCCCATCATTTTATAGTTATCTATATTCTTGGGTTTATTTACAGAAACTTTATCAGTATGGTTGAAAAAGAATATAATGATGTGCTACCGTGCATCTCTTCTCATTCCATATTCAGCATCATCGTGTTGGCAGCTTCAAACTGGCCACTGTCAGAACCTGCTAGGTAGTAAAGGTGAGATGCCTTCTACAACAAAAACTTGCAGTGACACGAATCTGGCACGGACCCTAGGTGGACTACAAAGTGCAAGACAGCTCCTGAAAGCTTCCCACAAACTTGGGGCTTATGGAGAATTTCCTCACTGTGGACATTCAGATATATAAGATTCAACTTCAGGTGGACACATTCCTCACAAAGGCTCTCCTCCGGCATTCTTATATTGAACACGGAGACTGCACGTTCCCTGTATGTCTAAGGGGACTCCTCTGTGTGAATGTTCTAGTGCTGAATTAGCTAAGACTATCAGTTGAAGGCTTTCCTACATTCACTACACTCATAAGATCTTTCTGCAGTGTGGATTTTTCTGGTGCTGAATGAGGTAAGACCTTTGATGGAGACTTTCTTAACTTGCTATGCTCATAAAGCCTATCTAGGTGAATATTTGGTGCTGAATCAGAAAAGACCTTTGACTGAAGGCTTTCCCACATTCAGGGCACTTTTAACACTTTTCTCCATTGTGGATTTTCTCATGTGGAACAAGACAGACCTTTGGCTAAAGGTTTTCCCATATTAGTTTCAGCAAGCTTTCAGTGAGAACTCCGAGTAGACCTTGAACCGAAAGCTTCTGCATATGTGCTGCAGTTCATGAGGCCTTTCTCTGGCATGAAAGCTTCAGTGCCGAAGAACTGAATAAGGTAGGTACTTTGACTAAAGACTTCCTCACACTCAAAAGGTCTTACTCCAACATGAACTTTCTGCTATTTAATAAGGCTGGAGCTTTCCCTAAAGGCTTGCCCACTCTCACTGCATTCAGAAGGCCTTTCTCCAGTGTGATTTCTCTTTGGTACAATAAGCCTAAAGTTTGGGCTAAAGAATTTCCTACAATTGCTGAACTTCCAAGGCCTTGCCCTACTGTCAACTCTGTGGTGTTCAATGAGGCCAGAGTTGTGGTAAAGAATTTTCCACGTTACCTGTATTCATAAGACCTTTCTCCAGTACGAATTTTCTGGTATTCAATAAAGTTGTAGCTTTGGCTAAGGAATTTCCCATATTCACTGCATTAATAAGGCCTTTCTCCAGGGTGAATTAACCAGTGAGAACAGGTTTGTATTTGCAGTTCAAGCCTTTCCCACATCTGTGGAACTCGTAAGTCCCTTCTCCAGAGTAGACTCTCGTGCTGAACAGGTGTGTGTTTGGGGTTGAAGGCTTTCCTGCATTTGCCACACTTGTATCAACTTTTCCTACTGTGAATGGCTGCTCCACACTTAGTGCCGCTGTGTGGCTTCTCCTGTTCTAGGTGGCCTGGTGCAGGACAAGGTCCAAACTGACCAGCAAGCACTTCCAAATTTCTTCACAGGTAAAGGAATTCCTCAGCACATGGAAATGGCTGCTCTTCACAAACACGGTCCTGTCACATCCCTTCTGAAAAGTTCCTCTCTACCGTGCTGCTTCTGATGAAGGTTTATATCGAAAGAATTGTTTCCCACATGCCCCATAGGTGTATGATTTCTGCCTGAGATGTGTGCCCCTATCCTAAGCCAAGTGCAACATGTCTTTCAAGACTGAGACACACATCTCATAAGGGTAGGCTTTCTGGGGAAAGGGGACCTGCTTTGGGAGTCCTGACCTGTGACAGTTCTTCTAAAGAAACATTCTGCTCAGAAGGTGCCTCCTCATCTCCCAATTCACACCAACAACCTGAAAACAAAGAAATGCAGGTGAAGAGCAATTAACTTTAGTGGGAAGGGCAACTCCATAACAAATGTGCATCTGAAATGCCAGTGAATGAGTCTATGTGAGTCCATAGGACTCATATAGTCCAAAGACACAGAAAGAGGGGAATGAAGGACACAATGAGGGACCGAGTGAAGGACAAAAGGAGGAGGTGCAGCATAAAGAGGAGAGAGAGGTCTGCAACTAACTCTGAATGGTTTTTAGCACTTGTCTTGTCTGCTGAAGACACATGTGCAGAAGGATGTGTCCAGGCCCAAGAAAACCCAACTGCAACAGAGTAGCTCATGTTCAAAGACTATTTGAGGACACGTGCACACCTCACAACACAATATGCACAGGCCAATGGTGGAGAACACTGCAAGAGGGAGCAGTGGAAAAGAATGGATGAGATGTGGAATCCAAGAGTTGAGGATTAGCCCTGGGCTGAAAGTCAAAGTAGAAATGATAAGTTGGTAAAGTGTCGAGAATGACGAAGGAAAGGTAGAAATGAAGTGTGGCCACTGGCACCAAAGCAGTAGTGGAAACAGGACAGATTCATGGTATGATGTGAACACAGCCCTGATGTCATGCCCTCTCACCTGCCACTCAATAGGGTTAGGGCCCTTCTGAGCTCATTTTCTGTAGCTGAAATCATGTCAACCCTGAGACGCACCCACTGAGCTCCCTCCTACCCCCAGCTGAACACAGTTCCTGGAGGACCAAGTTCTAAGGGAAATACTGGACAGATGAGTGGCCAGCAGTGGCCTAGAGCAACTCAGAGTGACACACCACAGGAAAGAAAATTAAATATTACAAAAAGAATCTCAGGGGAGGATCTTTCAAGAACAGCCCATGGGCCATATAAGTAGCGACATGGCAGTGACTGTAATTCCAGGCATAGGCAGATATGGGATACGTCACCTAGAGGGAGGCAGCAGAACCTGGGGCAGAGAGGTCACCTGGCCAGGGAGAGGGAGAGCAAGGTGGGATCCAAAAGGCTGACTGCAAGACTTCTGACCCGTTCCCCGCAAGGCTCAGGGCAGCAGGTATTGGGGCTGCACGGGAGGAGGACAGGACAGTGCAGACAGCTCAGCCCTAGCAACCCAGGGAACTGGAGAAAGAAGCAGTGTCCAGGGTCCTGAGGTCAGAAGGCCAGCTCTGACCCTGGGGAAACGGGGAAAGGCAGAGGCCAGCCCAAGGTACTGGGGCAGGTGTGATGATCTCACCTAGAGAGGCTACAAGCGCAAAGTTCTCCAGCATCACGTCGCAGTACAGGAGTTTCTGAGCCTCATCAAGGAGAGCCCACTCCTCCCAGGAGAAGTACACGGCCACGTCCTCAAAGGTTATACTACCCTGCCACGACGAGGAGAGAGAGAACCATGAACAGCCTCCTTCCCGAGGACCCCCAATCCATCTCCCCACATATCCACCCCACGCTCATACTCCTCCCAAGCTCCACCACTCAGACGAGGTAGCAGACCCTGGTGCCATTTGTGCTGTCCCCTCCCTTCATGGCCCCAATAATTACTGTGTCTGACCCTCAGCAACATTAGGCAGGAGGGTATATGGATGTCATTTAAGCTCTGGGACTGCCATGGAGGGCTCCACCTGTCCTGCCAGGCAATTCCCCCTAAGTCCCCCAGATGGTGCCTCCTAAACACAACTAAACTTGGGCCCACTCTTCGTTCTTAAGTCCCCAATACCAGGGCCATGGCGATACCAGTTCATACTCCCCCTCCGGGTGCATATCGTTCTTCAGACTGTACCTCTCTCACATCTCCAGACCCCACAGCCACCAACACCTTCCTGCGCCATGCCATAAATCTCTCTGTGGCCTCCCCGTGTATTACCCACCACACGGCATCAAGATTGTGTTTGGCAAATTCAAACAGGATTCAGTACTACTCCAGACCTCCCATGGCTCCCACTGCCAGGAGCAGCCTGGAATCCTGCTATGAAAGCCTCACTTCCTGGTTCTGTGGCTTGTGTCCACCTCAGCCATTCAGAACCATACGCAGACTTCAGATCCCACCGGTCCTCTTCCACTCCTCTGTCGCATTTGCTGTCCCCTCATTAGTCACAACCTTCCTCTCTCAACCTAACCTATGTTTAAAGCCCAACCCCAGGGCTTCCCTCCCCGAGCCTAGCGATTCTACCAGATAACCACATTTTCCCCTGAGCTAATCCACCAGCCTGACTGAAACACTCTAGGGTCACCAAAAGATCCTGGGAATTCCACAGAGATGTGAATAGGAACCTGCCCCAGCCTCAGTGTCACTACTTCCTCAATTACGCCTAGGGCTCTGCATCCGTCTCAATGTCTACTCTTCCCGTGGAAGCCTTGGCCACCTGCCAGACCATCCTCTCCCCACACCCCCCCTTCATGGTCAGTTCTCTCCCTCAATTGTGCTTGTGATGCCCACCACCCCTAACCAGGTGCCCAAGCAAGAGACCCAGTGCTGGGCCCCCAACCCCATGCTCTCCTTCCTGGCACACTAATAGCATTACCACCATGACCTGAAGCTTCCTCCTCCTAAACGTGACCCACAGCTCCACACAGACTAGCCACCACCTTTTGGATGCCACTCCCCAGAGTTCCAGACCTTTGTGTCCAGCTGCCACCTTGATGCCTTCACTTAGTGTTCTCTGAAACATCTGATTCTTAACACGGCCAAAACAAATCTCCCGATATTCCTACTGAAAAGCATTGCCAACTTTCCTTTTTTCCTTCCAAAACCTCGGGATAATCCCTGACTCCTGCCTTTTTCTCTCTTGCCCTCAACATCAGAAAATCCGATCAGCCATACTTAAAAAACAGATCCAGAATCTAAGCACTTCTCCCACTTCCACGGCCACCACGCTGGCCCAGTCACCGCCAACACTCACCTGGACTATTGCATTACCTCATCCCTGGCCCTCCCGCCTCCTCACCCACTCCCAGAGTCTGTTCTCCACTCTGCAGCCAGAGGGCCTGTTGAGACCTGGGTCACAGAACCTCAGTGTCCCCATCATCTCCAGGAAAACACCCAACTTCTCAGGCCGCCATTCCAGGCCCAACCCTTACTCTCCTGATCACCAGAAAGAAAAGAGACAGGTGGTTCTCTGGACACTCGCAGCCCTGCCTCACCTTCAGGCATTAGGACACGCTGGTACCTGTGCCTGGGACAGCCTTCCACACCTGTTTCCACTGGCTGCCAGACACAGGAGTCAGTCGACATAAACCCTGGCCTAGACTCAGGACCTTGGACTTGGGGTTTCTCAAGAGTCTCCAGGCTGACGGGCTGGGAGAGTGGCAGACTGAGTCCCAGGGCATCACCATCCCAGAGACCACGTGTGTGTCTGTGTGGAGGGGGCTGGGACTGGTGGGAGCCCACTCACCTCTGTAGGGTGATTAAGCACGTCTGCGTCCATGGAACCTGTGGGAAGAGGGGGGCTATGAGAAGAGGCCTCCACGGCTCAGGCCTCCTTGCTCCCCTGCCTGGCTCTGGAGCCAGCTGACCTTGGCTGACTGTGGAACCTCTGATTCTCAGTTGTCAGTAAAGCCTCTGACCGGCTGTGTCTCACTGCCCTCATCACTTCTGTTCCAGTTTGCTCTTCCTCTGAGCAGCTTTTGGGAAACTTTAAAACCCCTAACTCGGAAGGCGGCCCGGCTCTGTTCACAAGCCTCCCCGGCTCCAAGTGCCACCAGAACGTAGGTACACCCCTCTGCCTGCCCCCGCCCCACACTCTGTTCTATACAGACACCACATGGACCCCAGACTTCCCAAATCGCTCCTGGACCCGGAGCCCTTCCAAGCCTTTGCACGTGCGGATCCCTCCGGTTATAACGCTCTCACGTCTCCTCACACTGGCTTTCAGAAACGGGGCCATCACATACGAGCGGCCCCACCGTGCTGGACACTTGGGCCTAGGCCGCAGTGATCCAAACAGGTTCCCCCAATTTCGGGCTGCAGGATTCCACAGTGGGAGTGGGGCGGGTGAAGGCCCGAGGGACTCCGCACCGCGAGCGTCGGGTCCATCAGGGGGCCGCTGAGATCGGAGCGTGTGGGCAGATCGTGACAGGAGCGGCGGGCCACCAGGGCGGGGACCAGGGCACCACAGACTCCAGCCCAGCGCTGACGCGGGATCACCCCTTCCGTGCCCCCTGCGAGCCTCAGATTTACCTCTGTGCAGCGAGGACAGCGCTCCCGCTCGAGTTCTCCGCCTCCGCTTACCTCAGACCTCAGGCGAAGCAGCCCCAAACCAGCCAAAGCGACCCCCAGCCAAGTGAGACCGGAAGTCCCGCCCCTATCTTTCGCGCCAAACACGGAACCGCCCCTCTCCTGCGCCTTCATTGGATCAGCGCTGCTGCCGCTCCGCGCAGAGCACTCTGGGTAAGAGGAATCTGTTCCTCCGCACGCGGCGTAGGGCGCGCCCCTCCTTCCCGCCAACTCACGCGAAAGGCGTGCTCTGGCTCTGAGCCAGGGGAAGGTGCTTTGCATCCTCTCAAAGCAAAAGCATGCACGTTTTCGGGCAGTGCTGTTGGCAGTTGATCCCCAAAGTGTTGATACATATTGTTTCAGACTCCATCAAGCTCAACATGTTCCCAGAGGCTAAGTATATTATTTCTGATGCTCCCAAAGGCTACAAATCCGATTGGAATTATCATTCCTTAGTGTCACTGAGACCCAAAATGCGTTCACTCGTAGCTGAGAACTAATAAACGTTACCTTACTGTTCTTCAAATGCCCGTAGTCTGAAGTTTTAGAGTCGGTTTTGTGAATTTCTATATGTTCTGTCAGGGATAAGAGAAAAAGGCCTCCAGATGGGGCTGTGACAATGAAGACAGGAGAGCAATATTATATTAGCCTGAAGCAAGTGGACACACTGAGGGTGTTATGTCCAGATATGATTCTTTTTCATTCTCGAAGACATTAAGCGTTTTCCCTCCACCTTGGAGGGAAAGTTAAAGAGTACATTTAGAGTTACCAGAATGGTGAAAATGAACAGGGATCTATGGTGTCATGTTCATTCACTGCTCAGAAAATGTTCAATGAGCATCTATGGTAGGTGCACGGGAGACATCATGAAACAAGTGAGACAAAGACCCCTGCCTTTGTGGAGCTTATGCTATATTCAAGGAAGACAGACAGGAAACACGAAAGAGAAATACTAAATTGTATATGTTAAGAATGTGGTAGGCACAATGGAAAGGAGACAGTGAGTGTGCTGAGAAGTGGGGAGATGGGATGTAATATTACACAGTGCAGCAGGGGAGGCCTCCTTGTAAAAGGGTAATTGAGTAAACACTTGAAGGACGTGAGCAATGAGCCATGTAGGATTTTTTTTTAAGTTCTAGGTAGAAGAAACAAGTGGCTAGGCACCTTCTGAGGGTGGAGCCCGGCCGGGGTTTGTGATCACCTGCATCCTGGGGCTTCCTCACAGGGTCCCTTAGCAGTGGAGAGCCTGGGATCTCCAGACAGCCATTCCTCTGCTTAACTCACTGCAGAGATCTTTGGGGATGTCGGTGAGAACTCTGGGATCCACCCCTTGGAGTCTGCAAACCTCCAGCCCTGTGGACTGGGGTCTGGGACAACACACAGAATTGCCTTTTCTGGAACACTGGTTCTCTGCGTTTGATCTGTGGGCCAGCAGCAAAACATGACCTGGGAAGTGCAGACTCTCAGCTGCAGACACAGACCTACTGAATCAGACCCTGGGGTTAAGGCCCCAAAATCTGTTTAAAAAGGCCTCTAGGTGATTTTGATGCAAGTTTAAGAACATTGCATCCTTCTGTGGTGATTCCTGTGGACAGGGCTCATGCATTTTCTGCTGTTAACAGGAATCCCTAAATCTAAATCTAAATCTAAATCTAAAGCTGCAGGATTTTTTTTTTAAAGATTTAAAAATTTTTTTCCTTTTTCCTCCCCAAAGCTCCCGGGTACATAGTTGTATATTCTTAGTTGTGGGCCTTCTAGTTGTGGCATGTGGGACGCTGCCTCAGCGTGGCTTGATGAGGAGTGCCATGTCTGCACCCAGGATTTGAACTGACGAAACACTGGGCCGCCTGCAGCAGAGCTCGTTAATTTAACCACTCGGGCCATGGGGCCAGCCCAGCTGCAGGATTTTTGAACTGAGATTCAAAATGCGTCTGTGCATGTTAGTGTTCCTAATATTTAAAAGGACTAATGTACAAAATGTCAACACTATATACGTTTTTAAAATAAGTGAAAAGTCTCTGGTAATTCTACCTTCTGGAGCAAAACGTTTGCAGTGTTATATTATCCTTTGAAAATTGTGTCTTCACATGTATGCATTGCTCTAGGTATGTGTATGTGTGTTCAGCTATATCCTTATACACGTTTTTCTGAATAAAAATAAAGTTATGCTTTGTATACTGATTTGCAGTTTACTTGTCTCTCTTAATATATCTTGGTCAACCTAAAGCTGCCTCTTCATTTTACACCCAGTGCCTCCTGATCTACACCTCGTACGCCTAAAGCTTCTTCCTTTAAAAAGCTGCTTGCATTGTTGTCTGCATGCACCGTGGCTGCCCAGATGCGGTGGGATGAGCCCTGCTTGGGGCCACCGGTCGCCCCTTAATTCCTGCAGGACCGCTCCTCTAAGGCCACGCAACATTACGCGGATGGTCGCGGGGTCTTCCTGCGAGGGTCTGGTGCGCAGGTTGAGGAAGGGAGTTCGAGAACGGTGGAGGCCAGTTGGAACGTCTTCCCAGGTCTCAGGACTCCAATGCGTCCCGGTCCTGGCTGGTTGGTTTCACGTTCGGTCGCGGCCCCCGCCGTGGAGTCCAGGAGCCCGACGGCGATGTCGCATCACGCTAGCTACGCAGTGCCATCACAGGCCAGGTTTCCCGAGATTGTGCAGGCAGATGTAGAAGAGATGGCCGGCTCCCTCCCCACACGGGGGCGCCCTCTGCTGGCGGGGAAGGCCGTCCGGGCGCGGACCGGACCCTTGTGGGGCCTGGGCGCGCGAAGTTCCTTCCTAAAACCTGCTTTCTCTCGAGTCTGGGAGCGGGGTCCGCCGCTCTCTAGCCTCCCAGCTGAGAAGCCACGGGTCAGGATCGCCGCCGCGGCGGGCGGGCGGGCGGCTCCTGTAGGTGGGGACTCGGCCGGCGCCCAGTGGGGAGCACCTGGCGGGTGAAGGGAGAAGCGGGGACTTGACCTCGGAGCGAAGGGTCAAGAGTGGGTCCGCTAGGCAGAAAGCCGGGACTAACCCTTGAGCGAGTGGTGGGGACTCAGCTTCTGGGACCAGCGCTGGACCACTTAGCCTGTGACGCCAAGAGGGTCCCACCCAGGAGGGCACCCCTGGGAGGACTCGGCACCCTCCCGGGGGACCTGGCGGCTCCCCCTACTAGCAGGAGATCCATAATCTACAAGAACTGACAAGGAAAGTGGAAAAGAACTTTGAGAAGAGTTCAAGAGGGGGATAAACCCTTACAAGGTAAAAGAGTGGGTCCAAGCAGTGCCTGAACCACTGTGGTTGGCTGTGCCTGCGCCAGTTCCTCTGAAAACCTGGTTCCTCTGAACCCCTCTACCAGCAGCCAGCAGCCGCTGCCCCTCGGGGGATGGGGCACATATACTAGGGCAGGGGTTACTTCTAAGGTTGGTCTCTCTGGGGTCGCCACTGAACGCCCAGGGAGTTCAGGGAGGTCTCTCCCCTCGGGCTGGTCAGGAATCGAATGTATCTTGAACTGTAGTCCTCTGCAACCTTTGCTCAGTGCTCAGCCCCCAGCAGCTGTTCTCACCAGGCTTTCTGCAATCTTGCCCAGAACCCACTCAGTTTTCCACCCAAAACCCAGGGGACCCCATACAGATTTCTAGGACTGCTTCTCTGCATATCCCATTTTATGGGAGGACCACACACAAATCCCAATTGCCCCTGTGGCCTGAAGCTCTGATCTCTGTTGCCTCCACCCTATCCTCTCTGGGCTCCACTTCCCTGAGCAGTTTTGGAAAGTGTTCATGGAGCTGGGCAGGAATTGTGGAGGCAGGACTTCAGCTGCTGTGCTTTCCTAGCTTCAAGGGTCACAGCCCTGCACTTGATACCGAACCTGAAGTGAGTTCGCTCACCCGTTGTGCAGTAAGCCAATCTCTGACACCGGGGGTGGTGGAAGAAAGTAGGAATTTTATACTTGCACAGCACTGAGCAAGGAGAGAGGGCAGCTAACGCTGAAATCCCAAACTCCCCGAAAAGCTAAAAGGAAGGACTTTTATTTGGGGTTTTAGGTAGGGGAGGGGGAGCATATGGTCTTGCTGGCTGGAGCTTTCCCACCAGCCTGTCTTTGGCCTTGACACTACTTGCAGAGAGGAGGGAGCCCATGACCTTGCTGATCAGCAGCTTCCCCACCACATGTATCTCTTTGCAGGGAGGAGATAATCCAGGTGCTTGTCCTTGGTGGTGTCTGTCTCCATGGAGGATAGTGGATTCTGGAGCCAGGAAGCCAGAGAGTAAGCAGGGAATGAGTGTTTTGGTTTTAACCCCATATATGCTGGATTTTATGTGGGGAAACTGATATCAGGGTTGGAATCACTCTCTCTGTGGTCAAACTTCTGAAAGCAGCTGCTTTGTCTAATTTTGTCCAGTTTTACAGTTACTTATGGCAGGAATGTAAGTCACAACCCTCTACTGCTTTACAGCCAGAGTCTAAAACCAGACACTTAAAGAAAAACAAAGTGATTCAAAAATCTAATTCTCAATGTGGAATGTTATTTAAACTTTGACAAATTAGAGCTAAACTTTGGATTCTAACAGGTATTGGGTAAAATATAAAGCTCCAAACCAATTCCCAAATTTTATATCAGCTGATTTATAGTCATGTGGGATATTCACTGACACTATTATGTCCACTAGCTTATAACCCTTTTGAAGCTGAGCCAGATAGAAAGATAGACATAGATATGTTTTCTTTGCCGATATGAAACCCACTAAAAGCCAGTGTAAGAGCAAATCATGCAAAGATTGAAAAGGATAGAGAGTGGCGGGTTTAGAGCACTATTGATGCTGGCCCTGATACATCAGTTCTCCTACATTAAACCCAGGATATATGGGGTTAAAACCGAAAGCACTTGGCTCCTTTCCCTCCTTCTCCAAGTTACATTCATATGTAAATATCAGTTTCTTTAAGCTTTGTATCCTTGACATTTATTACTGGGAAACTGATCTCCAAAGAATATCAAGAAGCTGAAGCTTTTCAGACCCCAACTCCTGAACTTCTTGGCACCACAATCCACCCTCCTTTACAGAGGGAAATAAGAGATCTTGTTCACAAACAAAGGTTTATAGCAAGTTTGTCCATTAAAGAAAAATACTGAAGCAACCCAACTGTCTTTAGTGGGTGAATGGTTGAACAGACTCGAGAACATCCACACAACAGAATACCCATGTTCAGTTCTGGGTGCATGGTGACTTCATGCCCCATAGACAAGAGTTCTATTTCTACCTGCCACAGTGACCCAGAAGGAATTGTTTCAAAATGATGTATGAATTTTCCTGCAGAGAATAGACTTTCTCCAGAAGCAAAGGAATGTGCATTGTGATTCTCTGAGACTTGCCAAAACCCTCACACTACATATTTTCCTAACACTGACACCTTCAACACCAAAGCGTGTGCTAACCTATATGGCTCAAGTGGCAGGACTGCTTGTACCACAGCGTGGGCCTGCCACAGAGCCCTTTCCTGCTCTTGGCCTTACTCAAAGCTGGTAGATTTCTATGCCACCTGGTACATGAGCAGCATTCCTCGGTGTAGAAATGTGGCCTCCAGAAGCCAAAGAAGATTGACAGGCATTGTGCTTCACTGTTTTTGCAAGGAGAGTCAAGAACTATCAGAACAGATAAAATTTTAAAGAATGATTATACCAAGTGTTGGAAAGGATGTGGAGAATCTGGGAATCTAATATAATGTTGGTGGGTGTAAAATTGTACCACCACTTTAGAACATAATTTGGCAGTTTCTTAACAACTTAAATATTTCCCTATCAACTGTCGAGGCACTGTACTCCTAGTTATTAACTCAAGAGAAAGGCAACGTAGCTTCATAGAAAGACTTCACTATGAATTTTATAGCAGCTTAATTTTTCATAGCCTCAAACTGCAAACAACCCAAATGTCAATTAACAGATGAATGGATACATAAATTGTGTTACAGTCATACAATAGAACACTCCTCAGCAATAAAAAGAATGAGCTACTGATACAAACAACATGGATGGATCTCACAATAATTATGCTGCATGAAAAGAACTGTACAAAAGGGAGTCAATACTTGATGATTAAATTTATATAAAATTCAAGAAAAAGCAATTTAATCTATAGTGAAAGTAACAAATAAAGTCACCTGGGGATAAGAGCCAGGGAAGGCAGGGCCCACAAAAAAATCCTGGAATCCAGACCATAAGATTACACAAAGTCTTTCAGTCTTTCCCAGAAGATCTTGGTCAGCAAGGAAATTTAGGCCAAAACTGGACTGAGAAGTGTTTTCTGTCACAGTGCTATCCACTTCAAGGCACACAATTCTAACACACACAGATCTAGGAGCACATCAAAAGCTGCTCACTTCTTCATGCTGGTAGAGCCCACTTCTGATTTCAATTCTCTCCACATAGTAAAAAGAATTCCCCCAAATTTAAAGATGGATTAAACTCATAACATTAAAAGTAGCTGTTCCAAAAGTCACACAGCAAACCAGAGCAATGCAGGGTAGTCAGTTCCAGGGTCTGAGTGACTGAGGCTGGACAAATCCATCACAAGCATCCATGAGACAACAATGTTCTTAGCATCCAAGGAAGCCTCTGCAAGCTGCCAGAAAAAACCTAGCTCAGGTCCTTGTGGCCAAAGATGGGTTATGTCCACCCCCACACCAGTGAGAGAAAAGGTAGGGAGCCTCCTCTACAGGCTCAGGGTACTCATGAATCTCTCTAGGAATTGGGGAGCAAGCACCGATTTCTGACTTCCTTGAGCACGCTGGGGTGACTGGTGCAACTGTGGGGCCCAACAAGCTGGCAGAGGTGAGGTGGCTTCTAACAGAGGCACTGGCAATGACCTAACTCTAGGAAGGGCTCTGGGCAGGTGAGAAACTGCAATTGTAGCTTCTGAAAGCTTACCACATACCTGGCACCCATCAGGCATCTCTCCAGCATGGAGGTTCAGATGTATGATGCTCTAACTTCTGGCAGATGATGCCTTCACAAAGGGTAATCTCAGAGCTGCCCTCTGGTATGAGCTATGTTGAACAGGGAGACAGCATATCCACTGCACTCCTAAGAACTTTCTCCAGTGTGAACTTTCTGGTGCTGAATGACATCATGCCTTTATATGGCTTTTCTCTAATCTGAACGTTCTGGTGCACGAACTTACAGATGCAGCTGAAAGCACTCCAACACTGGCTACACTGATAAAGCCTTTTTGTTCTGGTGCAGAACAAGAAAGCTCCTGGTGAAGGCTTTCCCGCAGTTGCTGCACTCCTGAGGCCTCTCCCGTGTGAATTCTGCAGTGCTGAATGCAGCAGGAGCTTTGGCTAATGAATTTCCCATATTTGTCATCCACGTAACACCTATCACCAGTGAACCAGTTTCTAGTGTGCAATAAGAATGCAGCTTTAGCTAAAGACTTTCACACATTAATAGCACACACGAGGCCCTTCTGCACTGTGGATCCTCTGGTGCTGAACAAGGGGGTCTTTGCAGCTGAAGGCTTTCCCACATCGCTGTACTCATGGGGCTTTGCTCCAGTGTGCTTTCTCTGGTGCTGAACAAGGTGGAAGCTTCCATAGGATTTTCCACATTCAGGGCACTTGTAAGGCCTTTCTGTAGTGTGGATTCTCTGGTGCTGAACAAGAGCGTCTTTGTGGCTGAAGGCTTTCCCACATGTGCTACACTTGTGATTCCTTTGTCTAGTGTGAAAGGCTCCCCACATGCAGAGCCCCTGTGTGGCTTGCTCCTGGTGTGAGGGGCCTCTTGCTGGAAAATGCCTTAGCTGGCCGAGAAATCCTTCCCAGTATCCCTACATGTGGAGGGTTTCTCTGACATGTAGGCTCTGCAGCTCTTCATAAACAAGGCCCTGCCTTCATTCCTGCCGAAGAGTTCTCTCCACTCTGCTGCTTTGGGTGTGCTGAACGAGAACTATTTCCCACATGCCTCACCTGGGAGCGGTTTCTCCACAAGGGCGTGTCCCCAGATGCTCAGCCAGGTGCAAACCATCTTTCAAGATGGGGCCACACATCTCTCTGGGGTAGGCCTTCTAGGTGGAAACTCCTAAGAAACTTTTTCTATAGAAACATTGTGCCCAGAAGATGTTTCTCCATCTTCCACACCACACAAACAACCTGAAAGCAGAGAAATGTTGGTGAAATGTATTTTGGTAGGAAGTGGCAGTCCCAACACAAATGTGTAACAGACACACTCAGGAAGGAGTCCACGGGATTGATGGCAGAGTACGGAAGCTGGGTCAGGGTGAGGAAGGGCCTTGGAGCAGTGCTGGAGCTGTTAAGGTCAGAGAATTGGGCAGCCTCTCCAGGGACAAACACCCAACAATGAGGTAAAGTGCAGAGGAGAGAAGCAAGGTGACCAACACGTTCCCCTGCATCAGATTTCAGCAGGGTCTTGTCTGCTAGTAACAGTTAAGTGCTGTGCAGAAGGGTGTGCCCCGGCCCAGAAAAATGTGAAATACAGTCAATCCTCACTATTAGCATATTCTGTATTTGCAAGTTTGCCTATTCACCAAAACTTATTTGTAACCCCAAAATCAATACTTTCATACTTTCACAGTCACTTGAGCACATACACATGCAGAGAACAGCAAAAAATTTGAGTTGTCCAATAAGCATGTTCCCAGCTGAGGTCGAACAAGGTGATGCTCTGCCTTCTTGTTTCAGTGCCATTAGGTAAACAAGTGTCCTGTGTGTGATATATTTACTGCCATGTTTTTAGCATTTTTGTACTTTTTTGGGTGATTTTGCTGTCTAGTGCTTCTATGCACAAGAAAGCTGTGACATGCCCTATGGAGAAAAAGCTCTGTCAGTCAATTCCCCTGGGGTAACCTGACCATACCACCCAGACACAATCAAATATCGGCTCAGCATTCTCCCTTAATCCCGCTGCACTAGAACTATGGGGGCATTAGTTCACTCTCTGTCCTCATGAGTCTTTTGCCAACACTTCCCTCTCATCTCTGGACCCTACAGGTTGACTCCCATCACCACCGCCCCAGCCCTGGCCCATATCGGAGTAATCTTCATGGCCGCTCCACACACAGCATCTAAGGAGTGCTTGGCAAATTCAACCAGGATTCTGGACTACCCAGACCTCCAAAGGCCATCACTGCCAAGGGTAGCCCTGAGTCTTGCTTTGAGGGCTTTCCTGTCTAGCTTTGTTCCTCGCTTCAATCTCAGCCACCCAAACCCATGTGCAAATGTCAGACACCCTCAGCTTCCTCCCGCTTTTGCATTGCACATGCTGTTGACTCACCAGCTACAGCCTTCCCCTATCCACTCAAGCTCCTATGGATCCCACCCCAGGCATCGTGACTCTCCCAGCTAATTCCATTCACACCTCAGCTGATCCCCCAGCCTGAATGAAACTCTCCAGCTCCCACAAAGGGTCACTAAAACCCTGCTGAGTGCACAGAGGGGTGAAAAGCACCAGCCCTGGCCTCATTCTCATCTCACCTTCATTACTCTTATGCTGTGCCTTTGCAACCACTTCATGTCCCCTCCTCTTGTAAGCCTTGGCACCCGCCAGACCACCCTCTCCTACATAGACCTCCTCTCCTAAGCCTCCCCGAAGTGGCCACTTCTCTCCTTCACCTGTCTTTGTGACTTCCACCATCCTTAACCAAGTGCCCAAGAAAGAAATCCAGTCCTTGGCCCCCATTCTCCCCTTCCCAGCCTGCTAGTAGCACTGCCCCCATGACCTGGAAAGTGTCCTTCCTAAATCTCACCCACAGACCCACACCAGTCCGCACATCATCTGCTAGCGGTGTCCAACTAGAATTCCTCCCCTAAACTCCAGATCCTTGTATCCAGCTGCACACCTGTCACGTCCACTCGAGTGTCTCCAGAACATCTGACTCAACATAGCCAAAACCTAACTCCTGATATTTCTTCTGAAATTTACTCCAGCAACTGAGTTGCCTCTCTCATGTGATAGCACTTTCACTTTTCATCTTCTAAAGCCAAAACTCTTAGTGTCATCCCTGATTCCTCCCTTTCTCTTGCTCATCCTTCGCATTAGAAAATCTAGTTGGGTCTACTTAAACAATAGATCCGGAATCTAATCGGTTCTCCCACCTACACAGCCATCCCCGTCTGGTCCAGCCACCACCAACACTCCTAAACACTTATAGAAGCCCTTGATCAGGTCACCTCCTCTCCTCCTTGACCACCAGTCAGTTCTCTACTCGGCCTCTAGAAGGAGCCTGTTAAGACCTGATTCAGATCACTGTCCTTTTCTATTCTAATCTTCTATGGCTTCCACTACCACAAATTAGTAGCCCAATTCCTCAGCCTCCCTGTCTAGGCATGATGCCTGCCTTTCGGTTCCCTATTTCTGTCAGATATAAGAGAGCCCTGTGGTTCCTTGAACTCTCAATTCTGTCTCACCTCCAAGTACTTGCATATCCTGGTTCCTGCCGCAGCAACGCTTTAGACATCACATCCCCTTGGTTACCAAAACCTGCAGTCATCCCATAAAAGTTCTAGCCTGGATTCTTGACTGTAGGCCGAAAATGATCCCAACAAGGGAAGGGAGAGCGGAAGGAGCAGAGTCCGAGGACACCTTCATCCTGTATGTTAGGAAGCTGGGGCTTGGGAGTCCGAGAGAGTGAGAGGTTGGGGAACTCGCCAGGTATCTGAGGCGTGTCCTGCGGAACTCTCCAGGTTTCGGAGCCGTGTCCACCAGAGCCGTCGCCGCCACGGAGCCCAGCGGGCGCAGCAGCGCGGGGTAGGCGGGCGCCCAGGGAGAGTCCAAGCTCAGCCGACCCCACACCTGAGGCCTGCCCTGGGGTTGGGGAGCCGAGGAGTGTGACCTCGGGCTAAGGATCGCACCGCGAGCAAGCCTCAGACTCCCTAGCATAAGATGCATACGAGGCTCAGGGCGCCGTTTACGGGGATTCGGGCAGAGAGGACCCAAGAGTGCGGCGCCAGCGTGCCCCGCTGGACACCTCCATTAGAGGGAGGTCACGGCGTGTACAAAGGCGCGAAGGACGGCCCCACGCGCTCACATCCTTCCTGGCTCCGTTTCGAAGAACCAACCAAGGAACCCCAGCCTCCCCCGCAGATCGTACAGAGGCTGCTGAGACCTCCCCCAAGACACGCTAGGAACGCGACGCCGAAAGTCCCGCCCCTTCCGCTGTCCGCCATCCCGGAACGCGGCACTCTGGGTAATGTAGTTTTTGCGCTGCATCTGGCGACCTTCCTTTCTCCAGGGAAATAGGTGGGTGGTGCCTCGAGAGGCTCTGGAAAAAAGAGTCGGCAAGTTACCCAGAAGAGGGCGGGGCTCCGCTTACTCTTAAAGGGACCGCACTCGATTTTCTATGGTTAGGGTAACCCCATGACTGGTGTACACAAGTCCTGATGGGGTTGGGGTGGTAATGTTTTCTAAATTGCTTCTCTCTTTCCGGGCAGTGTGGGCCTGGGCGAGACGATTTACCTTTCTGGGCCTCCGGGTAAAGAGATATGAAATGAATAATAAAGATAATACTTCTCTCTAGGGGCTTTGTGAAATACCCCTAAATGGTCCTCTAATTCAGTGGTTTTCAAATTGTGATCTCAGGACCAGCAGCATCAGGATCACATGGGAATTTGGAAATGCAAGTTTTTGGGCCCCATCCAGACCTAGTTACTTAGAAACACAGGAGGTGGGGTGGTTGGAGGGGTAGGGGGAAGAGGGTGGGTAAGACCCAGGCACTCTGTGCTTTAACAAGCCCTCCAGGGTATTTTTTTTAAATTGAGTTCATAACAGTTTAAATCATTGTGAAATTTCAGTTGTACGTTACTTCTTATCTGTCTCCACTAAGTGCTCCCCTTCACCCCGTGTGCCCACCCCCCACCCCCTTCCCCTGGTAAGCATTGAACTGTTTTCTTTGTGTTTATCTTCCATATATGAGTGAAATCATATGGTGTTTGTCTTTCTCAGTCTGGCTTATTTCGCTTAGCATAATACTCTCCAGGTCCATCTATGTTGTTGCAAATGGAATGATTTTGTCTTTTTTATGGCTGAGCAGTATTCCATTGTATATATATATATCACATCTTCTTTATCCAATCATCGGTCAATGGGCACTTGGATTGTTCCCATGTCTTGGCTATTGTGAATAGTGCTGCAATGACATAGGGGTCTATATGTTACTTTGGATTGTTGACTTCAGGTTGTTTGGGTAGATACCCAGTAGTGGGATAGCTGGGTCATATGGTAGTTCTATTTTTAGTTTTTTGAGGAATCTCCATACTGTTTTCCATAGTGGCTGCACCAGTTTGCATTCCCACCAACAGTGTATGAGGGTTCCCTTCTCTCCACACCCTCTCCAACGTTTGTTATTTTTAGTCTTGGTGATTGTGGCCATTTTAACAGGTGTCAGGTGATATCTTAGTGTAGTTTTGATTTGCATTTCCCTGATGATTAGTGATGTTAAACATGTTTTCATGTGCTTATTGGCCATGAGTATATCTTCTTTAGAAAAATGTCTGTTCATATCCTCTGTCCATTTTTTGATTGGGCTGTTTGTTTTTTGTTGTTCAGTTGTGTGAGTTCCTTACATATTATGGAGATTAACCCCTTGTCGGATATATGATTTGCAAATATTTTCTCCCAATCGGTGGTTTGTCTTTTTGTTTTGATCCTAATTTCTTTTGCCTTGCAGAAGCTCTTTAGTCTGATGAAGTCCCACTTGTTTATTTTTTTCTTTCGTTTCCCTTGTCTGAGAAGACATGGTATTTGAAAAGATCCTTTTGAATTCTATGTCAAAGAGTGTACTACCTATATTATCTTCCAGGAGTTTTATGGTTTCAGAACTTATCTTCAAGTCTATGATCCATTTTGAGTTTATTTTTATGTATGGCATGAGATAATGGTCTACTTTCATTCTTTTGCAAGTGGTTGTCCAGATTTCCCAACACCATTTATTGAAGAGACTATCTTTTCTCCATTGTACGTTCTTGGCACCTTTGTCAAAGACTAGCTGTCTGTAGATGTGTGGGTTTATTTCTGGGCTTTCAGTTGTGTTCCACTAATTTGAGTGCCTGTTTTTGTACCACTACCCTGCTGATTTGATCACTATGGCTTTGCAGTACATTTTTCAGTCAGGGATTGTGATGCCTCCAGCTTTGTTCTTTTTTTCTCAGGATTGCTTTAGTAATTCAGGGTCTTGCCCAATATAAATTTAAGGATTCTTTGTTCTATTTCTGTGAAGAATGTCATTGGGATTTTGACTGGGATTGCATTGAATCTGTAGATTGCTTTGGGTAATATGGACATTTTAACTATGTTTATTCTTCCAATCCATGTGCATGGGCTCTCTTTCCATCTCTTTACGTCATCATCTATTTCTTTCAATAATGTCATAGTTTTCATTGTATGAGTCATTCACCTCCTTGGTTAAATTTATTCCTAGATATTTTATTCTTTTTGTCGCGATTATAAATGGAATTATATTCTTGAGTTCTCTTTCTGTAAGTTCATTATTTGAGTATAGAAATGCAACTGATTTTTGTAAGTTGATTTTGTACCCTGCAACTTTACTGTAGTTGTTAATGATTTCTAGCAGTTTTCTGATGGATTCTTTAGGGTTTTCCATTTATAAGATCATGTCATCTGCACACAGTGAGAGTTTCACTTCTTCGCTCCCTATTCAGATTCCTTTCATTCCTTTCTCTTACCTAATTGCTCTGGCCAAAACCTTTAGGACTATGTTGAATAAGAGTGGTGAGAGTGGGCCTCCTTGTCTTGTTCCTGTTCTCAGAGGGATGGTGTTCAGTTTTTCCCCACTGACTGTGATGTTAGCTGTGGGTTTGTCATATATGGCCTTTATTATGTTGAGGTAATTTCCTTATTCCACATTATGTTAAATATTATTATAATAAATGGCTGTTGGATCTTGTCAAATGCTTTCTCTGCATCTATTGAGATGATCATGTGGTTTTTATCCCTCATTTTGTTAATGTGGTGTATCACATTGATTGATTTGTGGATGTTGAACCATTGCTATGTCCCTGGTATAAATCCCACTTGATCATGATGTATGATCTTTTTGATGTATTGCTGTATTCGGGTTACCTAATTTTTGTTGAGGATTTTTGCATCTATGTTCACCAGTGATGTTGGCCTGTAGTTTTTCTTCTTTGCGTTGTCCTTGTCAGGCTTTGGTATCAGAGTGATGTTGGCTTTATAGAATGTGTTAGGAAGCATTTCATTTTCCCTGATATTTTGGAATAGCTTGAGAAGGATAGATATTAAATCCTCTCTGAAAGTTTGGTAGAATTCTCCAGGAAAGCCATCTGGTCTTGGGCTTTTTTATTTTTGGGGAGGTTTTTTGATTACTGTTTCAATCTCTTTACTTGTGATTGGTCTATTCAGATTCTCTATTTCTTCTTGATTCAGCTTTGGGAGGTTGTAAAAGTCTAAGAATTTATCCATTTCTTCTAGACTGTCCATTTTGTTGGCATATAGCTTTTCATAGTATTCTATTATAATCCTTTATATTTCTGTGGTATCTGTTGTTATTTTTCCTCTTTCATTTCTAATTTTATTTATCTGAGCTTTCTCTCAATCAATGAAACCATTGATCCTTTCTACTGCCTTTTTTGGTTTCAATTGCATTTATTTCTGCTTTGATTTTTATTATTTCTCTCCTTCTGCTGACTTTGGGCTTTGTTTGTTCTTCTTTTTCTAATTCAGTTAGGTGTAGTTTGAGATTGCTTATTTGGGATTTTTCTTGTTTGTTAAGGTGAGCCTGTATTAAGATGAATTTCCTTCTTAGTACCACTTTCGCTGCATCCCACATGAGCTGCTATGGTATGTTTTCATTCTCATTTGCCTCCAGATTTTTTTTTTGATTTCTCCTTTAATTTCTTGAATGATCCATTGGTTGATCAATAGCATGTTGTTTAGTCTCCACATCTTTGTCCCTCTGTCAGCTTTTTTCTTGTAATTAATTTCTAGCTGCATAGCATTGTCATCAGAAAAGATGCTCATTACTGTTTAAATCTCCTTACATTTATTGAGGCTTGCCTTGTTTCCTAACATATGGTCTATCCTTGACAATGTTCCATGTGGGCTTGAGAAGAATGTATATTCTGCTGTTTTTGGCTATTCTATCCAAATGTTTTATATATGTCAGTTAACTCCAACTGGTCTAGCTTTACATTTAACTCCACTGTTTTCTTGTTGATTTTCTATCCGGATGATCTGTCCATTGATGTAAGTGGAGTGTTGAGGTCCCCTACTATTATTATGTTGTTATTAATATCTCCTTTTAGGTTTGTTAATAGTTTCTTCATGTACTTTGATGCTCCTGTATTGGGTGCACAGATATTTATCCGTTATGTCTTCTTGGTAGAGTGTCCCTTTGATCATTATGTACTGAGCCTCTTTGTCTCTCTTTACCTGTCTTATCTTAAAGTCTGCTTTGTCTGATAGAAGTATTGCGACATCTGCTTTCTTTGGTTTGCCATTAGCTTGGAGTATCGTCTTCCATCCCTTCACTCTGAGTTTGTGTTAGTCATTGGAGCTGAGATGTGTTTCCCGGAGGCAGCATATTCTTGGGTGTTGTTCTTTAATCCATCTCACCACTCTGAATCTTTTTACTGGAGAATTCAATCCATTTACATTTAGGGTGATTATTGATATATGAGAGCTTAATGCTGCCATTTTATCACTCGTTTTCTGGTTCTCCTGCATTTGCTTTGTTTCTCGTCCTGTGTGTTTTGGTCTACCAATTGAATTATGTAGTTTTTTATGTTGTGTTTCTTTGTTTTCTCCTTATTTATTATTTGTGTCTCTGTTCCACTTTTTTGTTTGGTAGTTACCATGAGGTTTGTATTCAAAATCTGGTAGATAAGATAGTCAACTTTCTGATGGCCTCTTATTTCCTTAGACTAAACTGATTCAGTCCCTTTCCTCTTCCCCTCCTAAGTTGTTTTTCTCACATCTTATTCCATCTTGTGTTGTGAGTTTGTGGTTAAAATAACAAGATTATTTTTGTTTTTGGTGTTTTCCTTCTCTTTATCTTTAATGTTATACTTGCATATTTGGTAACTTGTTCTGATGTATAGCTACAATTTTCTGATTTTGTCTACCTATTTATCTC